GCACCCCCGCCGCCACCTCCACGACCACCAGCTCGCCAGCCGCCTCCACGACCTCCACGACCACCGCTGTAGCCACCTCCACCGCCGCTACGAGCTTCCTTAGGCTCAGCACGCTTAATTTCAACGCTTTTGCCGTGAATTTCGTGGTTTTTGCTAATCACTTCGGCAACTGACGACTAAAGAAATCGAAATTGCAACAATGTGGGCATGACAAGAGCGGTATTTATCTAGGCAGTTTTTAACGTACCTCATCCTCGAATGTGATAAAGCCGAACCCTCGCGATCGTTGCGTGTCACGATCGATCATCACCACAGCGTCCGTGATCCTACCAAATTCCTCAAAGTAATGGCGAAAGTCCTGCTCCGCTATAGTTGGGGCAAGGCCACCCACAAAGATTTTCTTGGACTCTGTGAAAATACCGCCGCCACCACCGCCATTGCTGCTATACCCGCTGCGAGCGCCGCGGAACTCACTATATTGTACCAAGCAAGGACACTACAAGTTAGTTCTAAATTGCAATCGTCGAGACCTGCTTGCTACTGTCTAATTAAAACGTCATGGCCCTGTCCACAGGAGTAATTAGAGAAGGGCTGGACGAAGAGAGCGACCAGAAGGTGACGAGAAAACGCCAAGCGATAGTGTTGAGTAGAATAAATTCTCTTCTAGTTGTCCTCTTGCTGTTTGCTTTGCTTTGTTTTGCTTTCTCTCTCTCCCTTTCTTCCTTCCTGCCCTTCTCATTCTGACTCCCTCCTTATACAACTCTTTTCTTTCCAATAAATAAATATAAAGTAATGGACAGCCAGCCTTGCGTCTTTCACCGCGCGACCAAAAGTGGTACTAACCTCGAGCCTGGCGCTGTCCTCTCCCTAGGTATCGCGCGCTTCACTTCTACTGACCGGCCGTCTAGAGTATGCGTCTCTTCCAGCACGCGGTCAATCGCTGCATTAAGCACGTCCACAGCATTAGCATCAAAGCTTTAAAATACAATAATTGACACCTAAGCTTTACCGTACCTGATGCATCTGCGAATGTCACAAAACCAAAGCCTCGCGGTTGACCTGTGTACTTGTCCTTCATCAACGCAGCGTCCGTGAGCGCACCGTACTTACCAAAGTGCTGACGCAATGTGTCTTCAGTTGTTTCCCACGAGACCCCACCAATGAAGAGCTTGCCTGGCTGCGTACTGCCGCCATTCTTGTCATAGCCATGATGCTGTTCCATTTGCTGCTGTGGATGCTGTCCACTGGTCTGCACATAGTCACTGTAGCCCCCAGAAAAATCCTGTTGATGCTGCTGGTACTGGAGAGGCTGCTGTTGTTGCTGTTGCTGTTGCTGATGCTGCTGTTGTTGTTGTTGCTGTTGTTGCAGGATGTGTGAATGGTGCTGCGTGTCCAAGTCATCTGGATTGCCAGCCAATGCACGAATATCATCGTCATCCTCAGTATCATCACCCGAAACTGATGTTAAGGCAGTCTGATTGTCACCCGCAGGTGTCTGTTGAGTGTCCACTACCGGCTCCTCCTGCTCATACACGACGCCGAGCCCCTCCATTGCGAGTGATGACCTTATTTCACAAAATGTATATCAATCCCTCTACTTAGTATGTCTATCCCCCCAATTTAGCCCGCTTTCCTCCAGTCTATAGCATCCAAATATTACAGTTCTACCCCATTCGAACAAAGACATTGCATGCTTTAAACCAATCATTATTCGTGCATAAATGACCAAACTAACCGTCACATTTGCATTTTGTGTATCTTAAAACGACGTAGCAAATCAATTGCTTGACAATGACGAGCGGTAGCAGCTCAAGATTGGCTTGGTGTGCCCAGCTCCTGCTTTCCGAAGCAATAAAAGTGGATTCTTTTCAAAACAAAGCTCTATATTCGTGTCGTCAGATTTCAACGACACAGTGAGATCGTATCAACAGTGAGCGGCGAATGTAAAAAAATAGCTCGTTTATAAAATGCCGACCGCAACGCTATTGTTTCGAAAATGCAAATTCGAGATTAAACTTGGAGATATGCTCATGCAGCATGCAAAAAGCACACAAGTTTTGAATTGCCGTCAACAAAGCAAATAACAATGTAGAAAGGTTAGGAGAGACTCCTACAATCTGAACATGCTAATCGAAATGGATGCTGTCTTGAGTGAAGACATATGCGTGATACACTAGCTGAGAATTCAAGGTAGGTAACGACACGTTTGAGCCAAAATATCACGAATCTTTACCTCCCTGTAGAGAGTGATATTAGCTCTCACACGATTTCAAAATTCAACAATTGACGGCTCAATAAGCAATTTCTATTGAGCTCATCCAGCAATTTAAGAGTTGTTTAAATCTAATATTCAAACGATGGTTTTCAGCACTTGATTTCGTCACATTCCTGCGTCGTCTACAAGTGATCAGTAAATTTTAAGGTGGTTTAGCAAAGCAGGTGTTCAAATTGACGTCAAGCAATCTTTTGTTGCTTGGCTGTATAATAATTTAACCTACGACTTTAACTCATAGCTGCTTGACTACAGATTAAGAGTCAGATTTACGTTGCGGCGCCCGCTGTAAGTAGCGAGTGTAAAGCGTGAAGAGCAGACCATCTTTGAAAAAGGGAGGCTTAAGCCTTGATGTGGCGATTGGACGTTGCTAGACCCTGAAATCTTCTCCATCGATTGTTTCACCCGACGATGAGTATTCATCCGTGTTGACTGTTGAGGACTCACAATTTGCTGGAAATTCGCATTTAGCCCTTGCAACTCAGTCGTTTAATGTCAACTGGCCTGAAATAGGGATAGATTTGAAGCACTTTGTCGGGTAGTAGACATAAAGTAGTCAAAGTAAGATCTTGACGAGCTTGATATCATGGTAAACAGCAACTTGTTCGAGTCAGAATGATTATTTAGTAACCCTTTCTCGCCCCTGTTGTCGTAATTGAAAATATTTTCCGCCAATCTAGACGCTCTCCATGACAATATTGGGCGGATAGGCGCTTCCTCCCTTCATAAACCGGATAGAATGCTGTAGATTGCGCAGTCGATCAATGAGCCCCTTCATCACCACATTTCTTTCATACACTTCCTGTAAAACACACACAAAAATTCAATCAAACTTCAAACCTCTTTTCTTAATACTACGCATATCTTACATTGCGCAACTGATTCCTCCTCAACACCAGCTTTGCCACCGCTTCCTATAGTATCAAATACCACTCAGTTTCATACAAAAAAGCAACTCTTTCATCCCAGTTGATAGTACCTCTTCTTCCTGCTGTGTCTCGTGTTTCACCTCCACACACTTGACAGCCTCCAGCAATTCGGCACTGATCTTCATGTATTGCTTTTTAAGTGCCGCTATTTTCGTATATGTATCCTGAATCTCCTCGAACGAGTATGGGAGCACAGCAGGGTGGCCTTGGCTCCCAAGGTTTGTTTGCGCAGTGCTTGCGACACTCGAGGCCAGTCCGTTTACGTCAGAAACCACTTCGTCCTGTGGTATTTCAGTCTCTGAAGGAGAGTGAGGAGGTGAGCTCAAAACAGGTACATCGACTGCGAACAACTTCGAACTCGGACGAAGCGGCGGCTTGAAATTCATGTGCTTCATCTCCCTCAGTACCTGGTACGCGATGGCTAGTAAGTGTGACAGCAGCTGCTGACCATTCTTGGTCGCAACAGGTTGTTCATCCATATTTTCGATTTATGATTTCGACGTCGCCCTGATTGACGTGAGCCACATCATGTTGAAGTAAATTGTCGTTTCAAAAAGTCTGACCTACATCTTAAAATGACGATGAATTTATCGTCCTCGAAGGTGCACGTAGACTCGCTGACGGAGGTCAACAATCGAGAATCTCGAGTTCAATTGCGTCGACAGCGTATAAGTGCACGTAATGCCTCCAAAGACGATGCCTCTCGCAAAATGAAAATGCAAGCGGGCCAGTCCCAACGTCTTAGCCGCGGCAAGCAGCAGGTTGCAACCAGTTTGAATCAGCTTGACCGCCACAAAATAGCAGGCATTAGCAAAATCACGAGTGTTCGAGTGGAAGCTGATGACATAGAAAACAGACGACGTGTTGAGGAAGAAGAACGCCGTAATCAGTGTGAGGAAAGGCTGCAGCAAGAAGCAATCGAGAGCGGCACAAAGAATGCTGCTGTTGAAATGAGATGGGCAGATCTTTTTGGGTTGAATATGCCACAGGAGCTACATGACGAGCTGGAATTGCAAGATCGTGCATGTAGAGAGATTTTGGCCTCGAAAGATGCAATTATTTGCGAATTTCAAAACCAACTAAAGGCGAAGGATGACGAGTATGTGGTTGCGCTCAAAGTGCAGGCAGAAGATGTCCAAAAGCTAGTCGATCGCATGGGTCATCAGTATCGAGAGATGCAGGAGCAGTACGAGCTTGAGCTAGCACAGATGGAAGAAGCTTTTTCAAAAGAGCGCAATGATCTTATCGCAAATAATAAGCACGAGATTGACTCGTTGTTTGAACGCCGACGTGAAATGGAGTTGGTGTACATGGAAGTGAAGCAAACTCGGGACGAGCAGTATCTACAAGAAATTGAAGATTTGCGGTTGCGCGATGCTGAGGAATATAATGAGCTCAAAAAAAAGCTGGAGACCAATATTCAAACACTTGAGCAGCAGCTTGAGGACATGCGTGCGACGTACCAACTTAATACTGAGAAATTGGAGTACAACTATCGAGTGCTTACCGAACGTGATATGGAAAATTCTGCAACGCTTGGCCAGCAGAAGCGCAAGCTAGCGCGTCTGAAAGAAACTTTGGCGACATTGATCACAAAGTACAATCAGACTGATGCGAGGGACCGGCGTTTAAATGCGGAGCTTACAGAGGAATATCAACGTCTGACCAAGCAATATCGCGAACTGCAGCGAAAATTTGCTCACTTTGAAATCAGCGGTAATAACAAATTTGATGAAATCTGGCAGATGCACGAAGAGGAAGCGATACATAAAATTGAAAAGCTTCTAGATGCGGACCGCATCATTCATGAGCAGCAGCTTGGACTCACGTGGCGACCGCCAGCTCGATCAATTCGAGACTGGAGTCATTCTGTCAGAGTAGGCGATGGGGTAGTACTAGTTAAGCAGCTGGAAGATGGCGATCTGTCGTCGCATGATACCACAAAGAGTGATATGAATCTGGATGATTGCGGAGACAAAAATGATCGAGATGAGTATAATGACGTGTCAAATGAAGAGTGCGCGCCTCATGTCATGAATATATCTGGTGCAAAGTTGAAGTACATGCTAAGAATGTTAGCCTCAGAGGCTGGGTTCCTAGTCGATGGCAGTGTCCAGCAAGCTCTTAACCAGCTACCTGACGACGAGGCTGAGATAGTGAGGGCCGACATGATCATGCGCACACTTGGTGTGGATAATGAAATGGGCATGGAAAACCTGATGGGGCGATTTTACAAAAATCCGCGGCAAGAAGTGTCAATGCACTCACAAGGTTTTGATAACAATAAAGATAAAAGCCCGCCAAGTCAGGAAGATGCATCGTGGGGTCTCGTGGTTGGACCTGAGGACGTTATCCGAGTTGTTAAGCGCTTTGTTGAGGTCAAATTATTACGTCTATTTTTCTTTGTTAGAGCATTGACTTGATGTCTATATGCATATGTAGGAGATGAGCAATCAGAAGATTTCAATTTCGCCGAATCAGACTCTTCAGCAATCGTCAGACGGTGAGGGTGATGAAGTCAAAAAAGATAGCAAAGGATCTGGCTTAAAATCGTTAGAAGTCAAGGCACGAGAAGCTGAAAAGGAGTACTGGCTGAACATTGTCAATTTCTTTCCAGATCAGAAAAAGCGCATCTTGACAACACTTGAAAAGGGTTTAATTCACTACAACACGGCGCTACTACGACGCAAAGAGCTCATTGACGATGTGACGGCGATGAAGACAAGAAACGCCGAGCTCAAAGATCTTCTCAAGAAGTATATGGCTGCTCCTATCAACGAGAAACTAATTGTGCCGCCCACACAGATGTAGTCTTAATCTTGATGACAATTTCAGTATTTAATTGGGTTTCTTTCTGCTGTCATGTTAAATTTGTTCAATTTGACGCGAAAGAATTGCTCATTGTACTATCTTTGTATTTCAACTACAAGTTAACGTTTTGTCAAGGGTTCAATGAACCTTGACGCGCCTTGCACTCCCAATCCTTGCAATTCACGATTTTCCCAGGTAACTACAGAATCAACTTCTATACGAGTTAAGTTACCCTCGACTGCTTCTACATTTATACGACACTGGTGAACTGCACAGTGTTTGTAAGAAGGATTGCTCTTTGGCTACGCGTCGCTTTTATTCGTCGCTACCGATTGCATTTTTCAGCAAATTCTTTCGCGTGTCATTGGCGCTATATTATGCATAAAAGAACCGTCGGATGCTTTATTGACGCGTTTGTCACACCTTGTACGATCACTAACAATTGGCGACAAGCACGACAGTTTAAGTCCATCAATACGACAAATGTGGGCGGTGCTATCGATAAAGTATCATACTGCGCTTGATATCCTTACTCCTGAAAAAGAAGTGGATTCGTTAGTATCCGTTTCACGTGCTGATGAAACCAGCATCGTTTTGCATGGTATGGTAGTGTTACTCCTTCAGGTGAGAACTTTTGACGACAACTCGAGCTGTTGTCTTCGCCAATTTAGTAAAACAAGAATTAAAAATTTCACAGTGGACAATTTCTTTAACTCTGGTGGCGTCTGAATTTCTCCTGATTGCAGTTTTTCAAGTGTAAGATGAGGCCTTAGCGCTCCCACTTAAATGAAGTCTAAAATCGACAAGATTTGTATCGATGCCACGAGGCACAGCATATTGAATCAGTGTTCAATTGCTTTGTAATCTTTAATATTCATCGAGATTAAAATTCACGTTACTTTCTCAACGTCATTTTCGGCTTCGCAAGTCAACCCGCTGTCGTTTTCGACGACCAGATCCACCTGCACGGGCTTTATTCCAGTTACCTCCTCCCCCTCGATGCCTTGATGAAGAGATTCTTGTTACTTGAAGCTTTTGGTCACCACATAACGATTTATCCAATTTGCGCAGCGCCGCAATTGTGTGTGTCTCATTTGTAAATTCCACATTAAAACTGTTCGAGTCAGACTCACTCCCAGCGACTTTTGCGAAAGACATAATCCCAGAACAATTTTGTAAAGCCGCTGCCAGCGTCACAAGCTCTAACGGTTTACTTGTCGATATCTGAATTGAACAAGATGTTTGATTGTTATTGTTATCTTCAACATCCATTTTCCGAGACGACAAGCGTACGGAACGCGGCTTGGATCGTGCTGAAGCCGACTCAGTGCCATTAATATCGTCAGTAAAGTGTATGGGATATTCTGAACCTTGCTCCGAAAAATTCTGACCCGGAATACAGGACGCCGTATTAATCCAACTTGCTGCGTTTCCTCCATAATAATAATGCTGTTGGACTACGTGAGGGTTCTCTCCTCCATAGTTTGCATACGGGTAGAATGAAGGAGGTGGTTGATACGACATTAGTGGTGTCGAATAGTACCCCATGCCCACTAAGGGATAAAACCCATCTGGAGAAGCGGGAGGGTACACGTTTGGTGCCATTGGCGATGAGTGGTCACAAGATGCAGTTCTTTTGGGCAGATGTATGGGAGAATAGTTTTGATAAAATTGGCCTTCCGTAGTGTGGGAATGCTTTGTACTCCGCATCAAATGCGCGAATTGAGTCTCCATAGCGTGCAAATCGACATCAGCAGATGAACCTATTGGAGCACTTTTTTCAGCTAAACGACTAATTCTCATGGACTCGTTAATGCCAGTCAAGGTGCTGTCATGGGAAGTGGTAAACAGACTCGGCACTTGAATCACAACCGCCTGCAATACCTTTCCAGACTTTGAAGGTAACTCCATATGGTGAAGCTGGAGCGCTGCTTGCGTAGCGTTTGCTTCACTATCAAACTTCACAAACGCTACTCCTTGAGGCTCGCCAGTACTACTGGTCAGCTTAATATCGATGAATTCCATCCCTGGATACGACGACGCGACCGATGAGAGCACATGCGTCGCCAAGTAGCGATCATACAGCAGTAATACCCAGAGACGATCATTTCTGTCTGACGACACATCTGAGAGTGCTGCTGTGTCTGCAGTGATGAGGCTAGAACAAACGTTCGATGCGCAACCTGGCGCGCTTTCCAGCCCACATCGTGTTGACTTTATTCGCTGCTGCTGTCTTTCAAAATTATGCGCAAATGATAACTGGCAGTTAGAAACGACGTTAGCGCATCAGCACAACATTTTAGCAACAGGTCAACGTACTGTCATGAAATCAGGTCTTTCTGGATCCTCATCTCCCTGATATGATTCGTCCTTGAAAGATTTAAAGACAAATGCAGCAGTAGCAGACTAAATAACAGCAGCATACGTCAGGCTCGCGCTTCAAAAAATTGCTGTGTTCACACGGTACCTTGTAATAGCTAATATAAGCCATAGTTTTTACGCGGCCAAAACTCTTGACAAGTTCCACTGATTTAAAATCGCCATAGACAGCAAACATCGCTTCTACCTCTTGCTCCGTAAACTTTCATAACGGGAGTGCTTAGAACATCAATAAAGAGAAACAAGACAGGCTAACATAACGGCACCTTATACGTCGATGTGAAAAACAATTTAGTGCGGTTCGGCTCAGTTTGTTCTGAATCGGGCTCGATTTTGATCTCCCGATCTATTTCATACATTTGATCCCCACTAACTGTGCTAGTTTGAACAGGCTTTCGATCTGTAATCCCTCCATCGTGTTCGCGTCTCTTTAGTGTTGCCTGCTGCTTCGCTGATCGATATGGTTCCTCGATATCATTATCAGACGACTGTCGTTTACAAAGCCTTTTTGACAGTATTTCACCTTGAAGATCGTCTTGTGATTGACTAGAATAGCTTAAGTTACTGAGATCTGACAGTGGAGATTTTCTCGACGAAGGCAAACCGATCGCGTTTGCACGAAGCTCGTCTTTCGTAGTACATGAAGATGATCCTGTGGTATTGGTTCGTTTGCGGCGACTGTAGCTGCCATCAAAATTATCTTCTGCAGTGGAGCCTCTGTCATTCAGACTTTGTCTTCGTCCCCGGTGGTGACATTCAGAGCGTGGGGCTGGCAAAACGCCACGTTTTCTTGTAAGGGTGGTGTGTGTGTTATAAGTCGAATCTTCAATTATTGTTGAATTGGATGCAAGTGACACTGACTGAATGCTCGATGTCAAAGACTCGGTACTACTCTCCTCTTCAAACTCTCCTTGCAAACTTGGTACCAAGTCTTCGCTGTGCATTTGTGTGCTGCTACCATTAGAAGTCGCCAGAACGTGTTTATAAACAGCAAATAACTCATTACTCGCTTTGTTGTGCACTTCAACTTGGTCCACTGCAAGAACTAAGGAATGCACCACTTGCTTAACATTACTCAGATCCTCGTCCGCCTCAATCGATTTTTTCGTGTAGACTTGCCCACTATACGATGACAATTGACTAGCGACCATCTCTTTTACATTCGACCTTGCCATGTTTTCTATATTGTTGGCCTTAGGATCTCCTAAGCGACAATCCTCCAGCATAAAGCGTGGCGCTGCCTGACTCAGCTCAAGCTGGGCGACTGCAATTGGTGGACTTGACCGCTGTCTTTTTCCGGGTAGCCGTGAATCAATGCAATCGTTAACTTCTTTATCTGTCACCTCAGCTTTCTCGTCAAAATCATGCCGCGTATGCTGGTCGCGCTTCAATTTTCCATGCCTCTCTACCATTCGCTCTTTTGCGACTGTAACCTATAGCAACGTAAAGCATTAAATTCAGGCATGTTGAAGATGTCTGTTTAACAGCCACATACCCACCTTTAAAATATGTCCATCGGGTAGTTTAAAATGGTCCAATCTGTCAATGGCCGCTGTGGCGTCTGCAGGATCTTCGTATTGGAGGAAAGCAAAGCCCTAGATACGCACCTTCAACTTTAGTTAAGTTTTACCTTTAATATTGCAGCCGACGAACCCGTGACTTTTTACTACGATCTAGCGCCAGATGAAAGTGTTTGATGGTGCCACAAGAAGAGAAAAGCGAGTGCAGCTCATCAGCTGAACGATTGCGCCCGCATACAATGAATAGTCGCGACAATTCTCGGCGTTGCGTGTTTGCAGAAGAGGCCTCTTTCTTGGCTGTAGCAAGTTGCGACGCAAACTCTTGGTTATTCATGTACCGATAATAGTTGTGTATTATACTTTGCAAATCTGACTACTGGATGAATTCCAAGGTGTCATGCGTGAACCACGCAGCGCTTGTGAGTGGTTACTACATGGGAAAGTTACTGCTAAAGGAAGATTCATTGCAGATTCCCTCAAGAGCGTATACGCGCCAAGCCATTAAGTTTCCCCCAGCGTATGTGACAGCAACTGCAGCGCGTCGACAGCGAAAACGGGAGTCTGCAGCTCGAAGGCGATCCGAACGACAAAAAGAGCTCATAGCAAAAGGAAAGTATGTCCCTTTGAATAATATTGTGTACGATGCACTACAAACTGCGTTCGAATGCTACGGTGGGTCTCGCTTTCTATTGCGAGCTTTCCTTCCCATCTTTGAAGACAGCAATGTGAGGTCCAACATTCATCACACTAATCTTGATTCGCTGCCTAAGATGCCTGAATCAGAAATACTCGATGATGGCAACCTCCACCATAATCAAACTGACTTCACGAAGCTTGCTACTGTCAACGGTACTCAAGTTGTACTGCCAGCCAGATCAAGTTTCGTCCAGCAAGATGTACGAAAAATTCATCAACTTTATCTTGAAAAGTACAAGTTGATTGTCATGGATCCCCCGTGGCAAAACAAAAGTGTTTGTCGAGGAAAGTGCTACGAAATGTTAGATCACACAGAGCTACTAAAGATCGACATTCCTCACATTGCAGACCTGGATGAATGTGTTCTTGCAGTATGGGTAACGAGCCGGCCGCGATACATGACGTTTCTTCGTGAACAAGCGCTTCCTTCGTGGGGATTCACCTTCCATGCATGCTGGTACTGGCTGAAGCTGAGCAAGAGCGGTGAGTTAGTCACTCCTTTAGATTCAACACATCGTTTGCCTGTGGAAGTATTAGTAGTCGCCTACCGCGCAAAAGACGAGAAGTGTGAGCAAAGAGTACGAAAGCGACTTGGTGAGAAAACTCGAATTGTATTAAGCATTCCACTACGCCATTCTTGGAAGCCGCCACCGGAAACTTTTTTCGACAATAGCATTGTTTCTACAACTGAAAAAAAAGTGGAGCTCTTTGCTCGAGAGTTGAGACCGCATTGGACTAGTGTAGGCAACGAAGTACGTCTGATGATATATGAGTAACTTCAGTATTTGATTTTGATTCATTGACAGGTGCTCAAATTTCAGGCTGTCGAGTTATTCCAGCCAGCACCGAGTGAAAATGAATGAGTCTAGGCTTCAACTGGCTTTCCATAATACTCGCATCATCAAGTATTCATACCAGAAACTACATATGTACGCTCGAGAGACATGGTGCTTAACAGCGTTTCAGCTGTCACCTTCATACAATAAAGAAAGATCACACCTTAAATGCATCTAGTGCGATATTGGTTTCCCAAAGATTCGGCTTCTACTGCTCACGAAAAGAGCGGCGAGAATTTGACACTTTGGTTGTCAATTGAATAAGCAAGTGCACGGTATCTAAGGCTCAGGTAATGAGATTCCACTATACATTATCTTCAAGAAGCAGGGACACTATATCCCCACCGCGTCTCAGATGTCCCTATAGCATTCGTCATTGCCTTTTAAATAAATGCAATATTTAGCTGTCTCAGTGATCTTGGTGATTAAATACTGTCGTCACAATGCCCAGAGGCATATCGAGAGTAGCAAATATTGTGAATGAATCATTGACAGATGCATACAAAATACTAATATACACAAATAGTCGATCTCATCATACAAATGCCTCGAATGTTCTTCACATCGGGAGTCTGAGTCGTTTCGTAGCACGGCAGAACGCAATGCTATAAAAGGCTCGTCGTCCTCAGACTCGTCATCTGTTATTAATCATTTGAGAAGTGGATTCTTTCGAACTTGCCGCCGCAGCATTTAATTGTAAATAACTCTTCGATTGAATCGATATTGCGTACACATTCTGTGAATTGGGTGGTCAGGAGTTCATGCAGCTGTAAAAATGTATTTACGTGCCAGGAGAAACATAAAAGATACCTTGTACAAAGCCATTTTTATACACCGGACCTATGATAACCAGTTTTGATATGACACCGAGCTTATATATTTAACATGTATGCAATACTCTGTTCGCGTCTTTCGACAGTTCATGTAGCATGATCTAATCCAATAAAGTCAGAGCTTTTGTACGATCCTGATTTTCTAGAGCTTGAGAATCGAGCTGAGCTTTGTTTTTTTTGAACGATTCTTAATGACTGAGGGTGCTTGATGATACTTAAGTTTATGTATATCGCTTTTAATTACTTATCGTGACGATTGGGATAGCGCGCGTCAGTCATCAAAATACGACAAGAGAGGACCAGGTTGTTTATAGATTTAATTGCAGCAATAACTTGAGACTATAGAGCGTTCATGTACTAAAATCGCCGCACAAACACGACGCAATGGCTGTCGCGATCGACAGCATACTCGACTGCAACTTCGCCGTCCCTGGAGACTATTGCAAAATACAATTTCAAGTATGACACTGATATCTTAATTTTCGCCACGACACCGATTAGTCGCTTGGCGACGAAATTTACATGTGCTAATCCGATGAGATGTTTCCACGGCGAGCTACTTCAGCAAAGTCAAACCATCTCGATTCAATGAACTATTCTACATCAGTGAGATGGTCCAGCAAAGGTTCGTTTTGCGCGACAAACTGGAGGTTCTTTATAGTCAATTGTATTGCTGGTCAATCTAGTACCTGGGCTATACGCAGACAATCAGGTTATACTGCTTTAATTATTTTCAGAACTTTGGGGTTTCATGCCTTAGAGTGGCGTCACTCGTCGGTTCGGACCCCAGATTCTAATGTCTTGTCTTGCAGAATCTTGCTTTGATCTTAACACCAACATTTTCGCTCATGGGACAAAACCGACAACATGAGTCAATTTTGCTGCTTCAATTTCCATTAAATCTTTGCCGCGCTATGAGACGACGAATGCTAATGTACATGGCAGTAACGGGGTTACACGTACCCAAAGTGTAACGGAGTTACACGTGCCTTTGTATGAAAGGGCGGGTCACACAAGCTGGTGCGACCACACATAGGTGTGAATTACACAAGTTGGTGTAATCACACAATGGTGTGGCTACACCGTAACAAGAAGGGGCAGGACTGCCAGCAGTAATGCATATTTATTAGGTTTTATTATTTAATCAGGAAAACCTAAGGTTTTTGATATACGCGAATAAAACAATTCAAGACAGTTTTGATTTTGAACAAAACTTTATTTGCCTTGGTTTACTTTTTGAATACTCTTGGAGGGAAAGGATTGTGATCCGCTACATTCGTACTGGTTCTTGTTAAGAAAGTAAGGTCGGTGACCGTAAATAAGCTTCCTCTAAGCAAAGAGCTACGGCAGCCCCGCTGCACTTGGTAGCACTCGTAGTCAATCTAC